TCTGCCCGGGGCCGCTGGGGAGGGAGTTGCTTTTCACCGTTTTCCTCCTTTCTTTTTCCTGAAGAAGGCTTTAAGGAACGGGGAGTGCTCAGAGCCTTCGGACAAGCCGGAGCAGCGCCTGGGGATGAAGAGGAAAAACAACAAAAAGAACAGAAATAGGAAGAAGAGCAACGCGGCGCCTTCCAGACAGGCCGCCTTGCCTGTAAGGGCTGGCGGCGCGCATGCTGCATGTGGTGCTGCCGTGTGGTGCTCAGAGCAGCGTTTTCATCGCCTTTAGAGCAACGTTCTGGGGTGGAGGAATGGCAGTGTTACAGATCTTCTCCATAAGTTACACTTTCACTTAACACAAAGGAAAAATTTGCTGGGTGGGAGTCATCTTTCTCACAGTTGGGGCAAAAAGCAGTTCAGGAAAAGGCATCTCTCTTATTACTGTTGTAGGTATTTACTGACCTGTCTTGCTTTTAAAGCAGTGGAAAGTGGGTGACAGCTGCAACGCTGTGTGGTCCGCGGATGGTAACGTGTACCTGGCAACTATTGCCTCCATCAACCAGAAGAGAGGCACGTGTGTGGTGACTTACATGGGATATGGAAATCAGGAGGAGCAGAACCTGTCTGATCTACTTCCTCCAGACAGCGATGAAACAGTAAATGGCATGGGGAGTTCTGGGGAGGTGAGGGATGCATTTTCGTTCCTCTGAAAAGGAAAGAGAAAGAGGGAGAAACAATTTTTTCAGTATTTCTGGTACCACTGCGGTGTTTGTAGTGGGAATCGATACCCAGTTTGATTGTGAACGGATACAAGCTGATGGAGGGGATGAAAGCATCCCCTTGCTTCCTGAGCTCGTCAGGGAAGAAAGGGAGGGGACAACAAGAAATTCACAAGTGAAAGATAACATAGCTAAAATGGTGAGCAGAACAGGTTATGAAGTTACAAGATCTCTCCCGAGTAGAACAGGGAGGGCTAGAGAGAGGGGAGGATGTGGATGGAGCTTTCCAAGCTTTCTCACACTAAAGTACTTGGGGTAAATTCCTG